GCAATCCTTCAAAATCTCTGGTTGTCTGATGCCACTTTGTTGTGTTTTCCAGCACTGTTTTAGGCTTTTCTTCTTCTAGTATCTTTTGTCTTGTTTCAGTGCACCACAGCGATACACAGTAGGTATAATGTCCCCTGAAGAAGAGAAAACTGTACCTCTGCTAAAATGGAAAGATGACCATGATGTGCTCATTCATTCATAAACCCGTTCATCCAGTCAGCAATTTTTAAACCATAATTTTTAATGAGCTCTGCTGTGTCTTAGGCATAGTTCTAAGCATTGGGAGACAGTGACAAAGCAAAGCTCCTCTTTTCATGGAGCTCACATCCTAGACTCTCAATTGGTTTTTAAAAAATACAAATTGAAGAACATTATTAATAACACAGTGACACCTTTGTATGCAAATGGGTGTGTGTACACCAGTGTGTGTGTGTGTGTGTGTGTGCCATTTCAGAAAGACTCTTTAGGGGATAAGACTGGAGAAACAATGTGTAAGAAGGCTTGTTTTTAACTGCCTTTATTTGTTTTTCTGTATTGTTCACTTGGACAATTGCTTCAGGCTCTGTTCTAGGCACTTGGGACATACCAGTGAACAAAGTAGGCAGACATACCGCCTTCTTGGAGATCAGATTCTAGCAAGAAAAGTCAGACAGTCAACAATAAACATAATAAATTAGTACTGTACAAAATATATTAGCAGGGGATAAGGACTATGGAAAAAATAAAACAGATTAAGGAAAATTGCACGTATGATGTACGGAGTGAGAAACCCTGGGCTGCAATTTTAAATCGGGTGGGAAGGGTAGACTTCATTGGGGAAGTGACATGTGGTACAGCCAACAAGATTCCCTGATGCATCTGACGTGGGGTTTGGAAGATCAAGGATGCCTCCACGGCCTGAGCAACGGAAAACAGGCCGTTGGCTCAGTTCAGGACTGTGGTGGGGACGGGTAGGGAGGGGAGCAGTGGAGTCAGGGGCTCAACTTAGAATCTGATGGACTTGAGATGTCGCTTCAATACCCAAGTGAGGACACAGTAGGCAGTGAGCTTTGGGAACCTAAAGTTCAGGAGAGAGGTCTGCGCTGGAGATTACAATTCAGGAATCATGAGCGTGGATATGCATAAGGGTGTGTATGTATATACTTCAAACATGTGAAAGGGCCATTTTGGAAACTTGGTGCATCATTTTTTTTCCTACCACATTTAACTTTCACTGTCTCTGAACCCTGTGTCTAATACAAGTTATCAAGTGCTGACTGTGCCACGGGCCCCCGCCTCTCATTCCTTCTGCCACGTTCCCCGTCCAGTTACCTCCTCTCCCACAATTTCCCAAGGCATCCCACACTCTGCCACCAGATCAATGTGACTAAACACACCTGGAATCCTGCAGTGACTTCTCGAGGATCACCTGTCACCTGCTCAGTTAAAGGACCAAATGCTTAACCTGCTATCCCAATGTGATCCAAGCCCATCTTTCCAAACCAACAACTCACCAGTCCCCTCCACACACACCATGCTCTCTGCACCATCCCTGTGGGTTCAGTGCCTCGTACATACTGGTTCCCCCACCAGAAATACCTGCCCTCTGCATCCCTGCCTGCCTAGATCCTGCCCATTATTCTAGGCACAATACAAAAGCTACCTACTGACCTCAGCTGATGGCCCCATCTGAAGAGAACCCTTCCCACCTCTAGACCCCCAGCTCTAGGACAAAGGGAAGATCATGACATGGGCAACACTGCCTGAAGTGAGGACAGCAGGAGGGGTACCAGCCCCAAGAGAAAGTCCGGCAATAAAGGGCTCTGCAGACAAACAAGTTCAGGGAACACTCCAGGCCTCTCCTTGAAATTTCCATTATACATTCACATACTGAATGCTCTCAAAAGAAAGTCCTACTTTTTTACATATAAAAAGTTACAAATATAAAGTTTTATATATATAACTATGTTTAACTGAGCTTTTATAAATGTATTTGATTTTGAAACCCTTTTATCCCAGAATTCTTACAACATTCCATGGAACTACTATTCCAAGGGTCTTAGAGCTAGACACCTGAACTCTAGTCCTGATCAGGCACCTGTCAGAGCTGGTTATCCTCAGGCCCAGGCCCAGAGAAGGCAATTGTGTACCCTTACACAGGTGACATGTCCCCAGACATCCCGACATCTCTTGGGAGAACCATACATCCCAGGACTGGGTTAGCCCAGTAGGTTTTGAGACATGCCCACTGGTTCCTAAAGATTAGATGGCTTACTTCCCCCACAGTGACTTATGGTGGCATGGATTATGCTAAATTACAGCTGTGTGACCTTTATTGGGTCACCTCTTTCTGGATCTCAGTTAACCCATCTCTTAAATGAGGGGGCTGGTCTGTCTGACAGTGTCCAATGTCCCATCCAGCTGTGGTGAACTGACTGTCTGTGTCCTTCCTCGGCCCTCACCCACCTGCACACATAGCTTCTGTTCCCTACTGTCCCTACAGGGGGGATCTTCCCATGTTAATTTTCATCTCTTTCATGGAAGAGAACCTTGAAAGTGGTAAGAACTCTATAAACACAAGCTGTATAAATATTTAAAGATGACAGGCATTGCAGCCTCCAAAAACACCTCAAAATTAAGTCTTTGAAATGAAGGGAAATTCAATGAAAGCAAAGAAGTGAAGTGATCTGGTCAAAGCAGCAGGCACTATAGAGAAACGGTCCTGTATCGTTTTCCAGCACCGAGATCATCAAACGAGCACTGCTGAGAACCGCCAACGTCGGCCGTTTACTGTGTGTGAGGCGCAGCACACCGCGGCTCGCACCCCAGAATCCTCCCGCCAACCCTATTAAGCCAGTCCTATTATTATTCCCACTTTACAGATGAGAAAACTGACACACAGAGTTGTTAAGTTGCCTGAAGTCCCCCAGGTGGCAAGTGATGTCTTCCAGCCCTGAGGGTCTAGCCCAAGGCCCACCCCAACCACCGTGCTATCTGCCTTTTCCCCCGGTTGCCGGCGTTTGCCCGGGTGAGCATCCCAACAACTGCAGATTATTCCCCAGGTGGAAACCAAGGCGGAGGCCATAGAATGGTGTCTAAGCCACTTCAGGCATTCAGTAAAGTTGTGTTAGACAAGTGTGGATTTCCCTGCATGTAACATTTCCACTTACTGATGTAACAATGTGCTAGAGAAATTATTTGATATACTTCGTTCTTCCTCGATTTCCAAGAGAAGCAAACTCTGCATCGTATTAAAAACCACTCTCTGGTCCCCACATCTCTCCATTTTTGATGCCTCGGAGCCAAACGCTTTCCACTCTTTTTGTCTTATCCTTGATTTTTCTTTTCTGTTTTAAAACATCCATGTGTCTAAGTAATATTATCCTATGAACACTTCTTAAAACCATCAGTGTTCGAAACGTTTACACTTTCTGCAATGGAAGACATAAGCGTTTATCTGTCTCTTATATGACACGGCATCACCAAACCCATCACACACAACCAAACACACATTCATACTCACACTAATACAGTATCTAAAGTCCGTAGGTTGAAAACAGCTACTTTGTCTTGTTTATAATATTACTCATTGCCTACATTATGAAGACAGCATAAATGCCACGCGCACTAGCCTCGTAATATTCAATTATCTTATCCTTTCTTGAGCAACTGAAAGATTGCTGTGTCCCACGCCTCTCCTTCCAGAACTCAACACTGATTCAGCAGTCCTGCCGACTACAGCAAACCTCTGAGACATCACTGCCTGCCAGCCTCTGAGAAGGGGCACAGGTGTGAAGAGGAGGCTGCGATTAGGGGACCGCAGAGCTGGAGAAGAAGAATTGAAGCCGATGATTCATTAAAAGGAAGAGGTGTATGGGGCGGCGGAGGGTGGAGGGGTGGGCACCATGGAGGAAGAAGCAAGCGACAGCCTGCACAACCCCGGGAAGGTTCGGGAAAGGAACGTGAGAAGCCTGGGAGATGACAGGATGGACAGGGAGAGCCCGAGGGGTGGGAAGGGGAACAGGAGATAGTTTAGAGAGGCCAGAAAAATCAACGTTACTTGTAACTGTGTGCATTTTCAGCACTAGACCGGAAGTTGTAGAAACACGTGCCTTGGGAACCCAGGAAGCAGAGTTTGGGGCTGAGAAGCGGCACTCGCGTCCGGGTTGGGAAACCGGGTGGGACTTCGCAGGCGCTCAGTAAACGTTTGTTCCAATCAAAGAGACAAAAGAGGAAGATGTGAGGGTCCCGCTCATGAGGGGAAAGACACCTAAGGGAGTAGGTGCTCAGTAAATACGTTTTATCTGTGTGCTGTGAGAAGCCTGGAGAGTTGCCAAAGATTTTCTGACGTAAATCCAAAGAGCCCTTCGCCTCCAATTTCAATTCTTGAAAATTGCCTGGGAGGCTGTGGCATCTCTCCCTGGGAACTTTCAAGAATACATTTTTAGAAGAGCCACTTGGAGGGGTACTGACATGATTTAAAACAGATGGATGAGGTGAGGAGGTGGGACCGGATGACCCCGCAGAACTTTCCCTCTTCGGTCCTAATTTCCACGTCATCCCCTCAGAAGCAGACGGTCCCACCCTGCTCTACACGGCACAGAGGTGAACGGCACGGGCCAGCAGATACGGCCATCCACCCACTGAGGACGGCTGAGTGACTGGGAAACCTCCCAGAAGGGCCTGGCTGAATCATAGGCCATTCATTTCATGGAGAAATAAACCACAGAGAACGTCTTTCAAACATGCACACAGAAAGCAGGACAAAATGTCGAGATTATCTGCTCAGAATTGGCTTTAAAAGAGGCCAGGCAGCACTCATTTATTTTCAAGAAAATATATGATTAACCATAGTTAACTATGAATTCAGATGCTGTGCATTAGATCAGCTCCTCAAAGTTTGAGAGCATTTAATATTATATATCGCTGCCATTTGGGCTAAATTGTTTTTTTAATGTACACAATATTACAAATTTAATTTGAGCTGTTTGAATCAGTCTGTAAAAAAGATTTGATTATACCTGAGTGTTCTGGCCCCGGCTTTTCCGTATCTCAGTAATCTTGGCGGTAATTGGCTGATTACACGTCTCACACTCCATCTTTGCCTCAGTTTCCATGGTAATGGTACAGGAGCTATTATAGATGAGAACTTCATCTCTTTCCACTTTAGGGCTGAAACGAGAGGGGAGGTTAAATGGGGTGTCATCAATCTTAATGAAATGCAATTATTTTTACTCTTATTAATCATTGCAAGCCATTAGCTTGTGGCAACTACAGGCCACCATTTGTCAAATTTTGCAAATTTCTGTAATTTTGTTTCCATTCTTTTATTGTTTATTTGTTTTCCCTTTATCTGCACACCCTGCCATGAAAATGCACAGGGTAAATATCTTTCACTGAGGCCTTTCTCTTTTTCCAAATCTATCAGGAACATTAGCAAAGGCTTCTCCAAGCTCAACCAAACAAGCAACACACAGATGATACCTCCAGTTCCAAAAATGGAAGCATTTGTTGGGGGGAAAAAATTTTTTTTTCTTTTCCCTCTTTCTGTTCTTACACTTTGTGTTGGGGGAGTGAATTGCCTGAATCCCACCCCACCCCCAGGGCAGATGGAGAAATTGGAAAAAGCCATACAACTGGCTAACTGGTCCCTAATTCCAACTGTGAAAAAATGAGCTCATTTAGGCTCGCAGTTCCCTCTCCCCAGCTGATGGCAGTGAGACTCTGGTGCTGGCAGTGGAACATTAACTTAGTAAATTAATTAAACTTACTTAACAGCCCAGACTAAGGAGATTCGATATATGTGCCAGTTACACTACCAGCCCCCCACTTTAAAAGTCTTCTTGCTTTAAGGAGAGAAGCCAGACTGGATTTAAAATGAAAAACAGCAGTGTAGCATTATAGAAAGCCTGCAAATGTTGGTCCGGAGGAGATGAGAGCTGGACTTGGCAGGGTAGAGCCCCCCAACAGGTGTGATACTTATGCAAGAATAATCCTGGCTTTAGGCACTGTTGCCACTACCTCAAAGATTCTTCGTAATAATAATGCAGGATGTCTTATACTTTTTTTTTAACAGTTTCATATGTATGATTTCATTTCAGTCGGGAAAGTAAGTAGAAGCTAAAAAAGTGTAACCAAGAGAGATCAGGGGATCTGCATAAAGCCAAACCCCAAAGTACAGGCAGCTCTGGGGTGAGAATCCAGGAGTCCAGACTCCCAGAGTGTGGAGATGCTGAACAAACGTCACCACAAAGATGGCAGATCCCGTGGGAGGACCAGGAAGGGTGGGGGAAAGGGCAAAAGGTCACGACTGGAGAAACTATAAATCATGTCGAAACACAGCATCTTTTTTCAAATCAGTGACAAAATGGTTTCTCCCACATTGGCTAGAAATAATGAGCAGGGTTATAAATAAAGCTGCTGTTAAAAAAAAAGAAAAAGAAAAAAAGAAATAATGAGCAGAGTAACTACCACATCTACTTTGCCTTCTTGTCCTCATGCTAAAATATTCCCAGCTCCATGCCCACCCAAGACACGACTTCCACACCCATTGTCTGAAGATTGCCAGTATTTTAACATTGCACAGTTCAGAGTTAAGCACACATAGCTGGTTGGCCACTGGGGCCATGATCGCCCTTTATCTGAGCCCTCCACTCCATGGCACTTCATATGTGTTCATTTTGCAGCCCCAAGCTTAAATTAAGACAACAGTGAAAAAGTCTCGGAGCCTTAGTTACCTGAGGGTTTCACCATGCTGTATTTTTTTTTTGACTGTTAGGTTTTTCATAGTTTATTTAGCAGCTCTGTCTTGTAGTTCTTTCCCACAGATCTAACATGCAGTTCTGTGAGTAAAGGAAACCACACAGTTATTCTCTGAGGCATTTCCAACAGTGTAGACCCACAGAAAAAGCCCTGTTGGGATAGGCCTCGACACCACGCTGTATTTGTTCAGCCCGTTTTCTGAGAAGCGTTAGCAAGCCGAGGTGAGGCTCAGACGCCGACCAGCTGGATGTCAGTCCCAAGCAGACATTTACCGTCTCTCTGACCCTGTAAAGACGTGACTCTCTTGAGCTTTGGTTTCCACATTTATAAAATGAACTCACTACCTGTTTTAAAGAGGTGTTGGGGAGATGGAGCAAAACGAAGCCCTCCAAAAGGATCTGTGCAGAATCCGGCACACAGAGTGTCCGATGAAGCCAGCTCCCATCACAGTTTTGGGTGGTAGTGATGTTGCCTGGTATTATTGTTGAAATGTCAATGCGGGAATTTACATTCATGGTTGTTACAGGTCATCTCACTGATGTGGACCCATTGCTCAAACACATTTTTGAATCGGAGACTGTGAATGCATCTACAAATCCATTTAGCTGAGCCGTCTTCCAGCGGGTAGACAAAGCCACGGGATAAATGCAGCATTTGCTCCTGGAGTGTCAGATTCGAAAAGGAAAAGTGAAGTAACTGAACTTCAAAATTACAATGTAATGTTATACTTAGATAAATACGGAAATAACGGTGGACTCGAAAGCAAAACTCACATGGACTTTCCGAATAAAACACCTGACTTCCAACTTGATGCTGTATCAGGGCACTTCGGACTTTGCAGCTTTTGCTCCTGGGGGTGGGGGTGAGGGGTGGGGGACTTGCTGGAATAGTCTAAGAGGTGCTGCCTCTACTTTTCCATCGTAAATCTCTAAAAAAGCCATCAGAAAGGAGATGAAGTTGGTCTCCCACCATCTTGTTCCGTGCAAATCGTTTTCCGGGTGGCTACTTCCATATCTGAAGGCTCACGGAACATCTGATTAATCATTCCTTGTAGAACTTTGTCAGGGATAACACACAGTTGTCTGCATTTCCAGGATTCCCCTTTTTGGCTTTGTAGGCAAGCGAAAGAATATTTGCAATTTGCCAGTCTCCTCTCTCTGTTGCCTGTTCCCCTTCAGGTTCATGGCCAGCAGTGGACCTTCACTAGTAGAAGCATTTTTTTTTTGTATTCCATATACAAACAGTCTGAGTTAATGGACTTGAACTCAAGGGAAGGAGTCACCAACTTCCTTTACAGCCTTTCTTGGTCTTGCGCTTCCACGTACTAAGGAGCCTTCTTCTGCCCTTGCTAGGCTCTTCGTCAGCAAAGGTTGGAGAAAAGGGGGCTAAGTCACCGTACCCTCCTTTCCCCTGCCCACAGCAATGCCCTCCAGTTTGGAGTGGATTGTCCCATTTCACTCATGACTCCAGAGACTCCACATATACCACCTGCCGTCTGAGGGTCGCTCCAGCTGACCGAGTACCACACCAACTAAATAAACCCTGTTCCTTCAGCAAGTCCTCCGATAGCTGGTCCCCCAGTAGAAGGCTCTGCTGATACCTGTCAGTGCTCGGCATTCCAGGCCATTCCAGGAGGCCATCCCACCTGGAGAGACGGTCTGTCCCCCACAGTTGCAGGGACACGACAGAAGCAGCAAATGTCGCAGTGGGGCCCCCGATCTTCCTGGGAAATACCAGTGACCGAGGCGTGGAAGGGTCGACCTTCTCTCCCACCTCTGTGAAGCTGAGCTGAGGCCTGGCCACCATGGCATCCCTGACTCTGCCTCCCAGTGTCCTGGCTCTCGCCAGCAGGCGTCTGCTTCCCAAAAAAAGAAGAAAGTGAAAAAAAAAATATCATGTTCTTCTTGCTCTGAAAAAGCTAAAACCTCTTTCTGCCAGCTTAGACTTTTTTTTTATAAACTTCAGCTCATATTTCTTTTTAGTTTGGTCCCTGATTATCTCACTAGAAATTTTTTTCATTAAAAAGCCATCACCCAGATTAGCAGAGACCCCAGGATATCAAAGACTAGAGCAGCAGTCACAAAATGTCAAGGTTTCCTAATAATTACTGTACATGTTTCCGTCCACAGTCATCCTACGCATTAAAGAGTGCAGCTGACCAGACTTAACTATAAACATGTGCACAAAGAGAGACACACAGATACAGATGATACAGATGTGCACGCACACATGTGTGTATGCAACTATTTATTTGAATGGAGGGAATACGGTAAAAATATTTGGTTCAAATGGTGGCAGAGAGAGTTCTAGAGCTATGTTTCTGGAGTCCCAATCCATTGCTCCTGCAGTTGGTCTGATCAGATCCAAAAGTAAGCACTATATAAAAAAAATAGATTAAAAATACAAATGTCCCCCGTATAGCACAGGGAACTATATTCAATATCTTGTAATAACCTTTAATGAAAAAGCATATGAAAATGAATATATGTGTGCCTATGCATGACTGGCCATTATGTCATACACCAGAAATTGACACATTGTAACTGACTATACCTCAATTAAAAATAAAAATAAACAAAAGTAAACAAATGATCTTGTATGCGCCTTCTAGGACGGTCAATAAAAATTCATGCATGCTGTCTCCCTCACTCAGCCAGAGATTGCTTCCTGTGTCTCTGAAATCTCCGTGGACCCACACAGCCCAGCCCAAGCTCCTGTTGCTAATGCTGATGGTACAGCTTTGTGCTGAGTACATGGTGAGTCAAAGCCTTGGGTTCCAGTGCTGTCACTGCCAAGGCTTTACGAAAGTATTTAATCCCAGTGGGAAGGGATAAATTGGGAGTTCAAGATTTGCAGATACTAACCACTATATATAAAATAGATAAACAACAATATCCTTCTGTATAGCACATGCAATTATACTCAATATCTTATAGTAACCTATGATGAAAAAGAATATGAAAAGTAATATATGTATGTATATGTATGACTAAAACATGATGGTGTACATCAGAAATTGACACAACATTGTAAACTGACTATATTTCAATTAAAACAAAAAGGAAGACATTTAATCTGTTCTTAGAATAGAATCTAAACTCCTTGCTAAGGACCTCAAGGCCTTAATACCTCCCCATGCTCATTGAGAGCCACTTTCCTTCCTTCTTTCTCTGCTCCTGCCCTTCTGGCCTCAGACAATTCATTCAACTTGATGGATGGATGGTGGATGGATGGATGGATGGATGGATGAGTGGATAGATGGATGGATGGGTGCATTGATGGGTAGATGGTAGGATGGATGGATGGTGGATGGATGGATGGTGGATGGGTGGATGGATGGTAGATGGATGGATGGATGGATGGTAGATGGATGGATGGATGGGATGGATTGATGGGTGGATGGATGGATGGATGGTGGATGGATGGATGGTAGATGGATGGATGGATGGATGGTAGATGGATGGATGGATGGATGGATGGGTGGATTGATGGGTGGATGGATGGATGGGTGGATTGATGGGTAGATGGTAGGATGGATGGACAGATGGACAAAGTGGGCATATTTTTACCACAGATATAAATATCCACTTTTGTCAAATGACATCAAGTCCATAGTGGTGGTGGCTGGCAGGGGGTCAGAGCATTTAATGGAAATGGGTCCCTTGCAAAGATCCTGGAAAGTAGTTCTCTGGGTTCACAAGTATAATCTTAAGAGGAACCAAGTAAGCCATTCAGCACATGATTTTCCTAATGCCCCCTGTATAATTTATAATGTGTTTTCTGGTTATTAAATTAGTATATGTTCACTGAAAAAATTACATACAAACTCAATAATGAAAACAAATATGATCAGTGCTTCAGCCCCTCCACCAGGAACAGGGACTACCAGAGTTTTAAAAATCATCCAGCCTTTTTCCCAACCACCTGTTACAGGTGTGTCCAAACGTGTGTTATCAACACCATTAGGATCACATTAATGCATGACTTCATGACCTGCACCTTTTACTCCTCAATGTATTGTAAATATCTCCCTCTTTGGTTAAAGACTCTACATCATGAATTTTTAAAGTTCTTCCATCTACTGTCACTTGGATGCATTTCTATTACTAAATGTTTGTTTCTTTTCAACATTTTCTGTTATTATACCCAAAACTTCAAAGACTACAGTTTTTCATAAATATCACGTATTTCTAAGTGCTTTCTTAAAATCCTGGAAGTGAAATTGCTGGATCACAGAGTAGGGAGAATTGTAAGGTTACTGGTGTATATTGCCGATTAAGATCCATACATAAAGGGCATAACTTTTTTTTAATGGCGACACTATCAGTTACAATGTGTTAATTTCTGGTGTACAGCACAGTGCCCCAGTCGTGCCTATACATACATATAAAGGGCGTAACTTTTAATGGGACCTGAGCTCAGTTGCCCTCAGCCACCCCCTGGAGTGAAGGGCACAGAACTCCAAAGGATAGTTTGGGGGCAGAGATAAAGTAGTTCAGTTCCGGGGAGCCACGAATGGCTAACATGTCCTTGGTCCCCAGCAATCGTGAGCTCTGAGATCTGGTCTTCCAGGAGCACAGCCTCCAGTCCCCCACGTCCTCTGAGACCCAAGCAGGGTTCTCCACACTTTCCCAGCAAACAGTCACCAAGGAGGTCCCCTTTTTCTCTGACTGAACATAATGTAACATTTGCTCAGGTGGCAAACTCACAGGAAACCCAGGCTGTCTCAGGACATCACAAAGTAGGACTGCCGTGAGAAGGGCTGGTTCTCACTGTCACTCTGGGGAGTTGGTCTGGTTCTGTTTTATTTCTTAATGGGAAAAATAGGCCTTCATTGAACAATCAGACGTAAGCACTCTATCTAGATAAGAAATGAAGCAGGACGCAGGGCGATGTTCGGCACTAAAATAACACACTTCATAGAAAAGAAACTAACTGCCTGTGGAAACACAGTCCATCCAGAGTGACCGACACGGTCACACTTTTTTAAATATATGTTTCAAAAAGGGGGTTTTACCTGGAAAGTCGCGGTATTTATTTGTTTGTTTTTTTAAGTTCAAAAAAACCCTTATAAGCTTATGGCTTCTAAATCCTTGATCTGCATTAATTCCGCCTGTGTATCCCCCCCGCTTCTTTTGAATAAACATTATACAATCTGCTAGATTTCTCTGTGACTTTTTTTCATACTTGTGAATCTGTTTGGAAAGAAAAGAAAAAGGAAAGGGGAAAAGAGCCTTCTGTTTTTCATAATGTCTAATCTTTTTCCCCATTGGCATTCACCAGATGTTGCTTTGGATCGGAAGATAAATATTAAAATCTAAGCAAGAACAAAGCGGGCTGTTTACTGGGCAGATTTTTCAGATGTTCCCTTGAACACTTGAAAAGGCAGGAGACGCTTTGATATGCAGGCTGGCTGGGCTCCCCAGTGGAACAGTCCTCAGTCCTCCAACCAGAGTGTCGGCCCCAGGGCCGGGTCCGAGGGCTCCATCAGTCCGCTGGCCATGCATTCGTTCATGGGGAAGTTCAGGGAGGGAGGGGACAGGGTTACCTGATCAAGAGGCCTGAGAACAACGGAAAGGCTGACTCTGTCCAAGGATCTTGTGCAAAGAAGCATCGGGCACTCTCTTCACAAACGTAGAAGTAAGGCCAGGACCCAGGCAGCCTCTCTGTTCCCACAGCGACGGTCAAATCACACTGCACGTAGCTGGAGCTGGAGGCCTCGCAGGTCTCCTCCTCATGCCTCAGGCCACACAGGAAAGCCAAGGACACTGCAGGAAATGGTCACCGTTGGGTTAGGTAACAACCACAGAAAGAACCGAAGGCCTGACATTACATAAACAAAGTCCATGTGTTGTCCCTTGAACAACAGGAAAATAAAGTTATCATCTACTCTTCTTAAAAATGTATTATGATAAACAACAAGGTCCTACTGTACAGCACAGGGAACTATATTCAATACATTGTAATGGCCTATAATGAAAAAGAATTTGAAAAGGAATATATATGTGTGTGTAGGTGAATCACTGTGCTGGGCACCAGAAATTACCACAACACTGTAAATCGACTAGACTTCAATCTTTAAAAATTTAAACATTTTTAAAATGTATTATGTATCCATAATACATACAAAAGAATATGTCATTTTTTATAAAATATGAACTATTAGACTAAGAAAAACTCATGGGAGCATATCCGCCAACATAAGGCCTAACACGGCCGTGACGCTCTCACGCCTGTGTGCTCCTTGCCAGGTCCACCCCCTTCCTCATTCTCAGAAGCAACCACTTGCCTTCTTTAAATAGTCTTCTCACGTGAGTCTGCATCCTAACTAGGAGGTTGCTGGGCTTTACTTCTTTTTGAACTTTATGAAAGAGAAGACATGACATCATATTCTTAGAACTTTTTTTTTTTTTTTGGTCAATATGATGTTCCCTAGATTTGCTCATGTTACCACACGCACCCATTGTTTCAACACTGTCACCGCGTTCGCCACCACATTCTGGGAAGGCGCTATGAGATGTACCTGTCCTCATACCAATGGACTGCCGGGCACCTCCCAGGTTTTGCTACTACAAACATGTACAGAATTTTCTCCAGGAAAACCGTTCATGGGACAGGTACAAATTCAACTGTACAAGACAGTACCACACTGTCTGCAAGGGGGTTGTGTCATTTTACTTTCCTACCAGCTGCATTGATGAGTTCCCAGGACACGACATAGTTGCCAGCACTTGGGGTAATCAGACTCCGAATTTTGGCCAGTCCGATAAGTATACAGTGGCATCTCTTGTGGCCTTAATTTGCATTCTCATCATAACTTCTTAAGCTGAACAGTTTCTGATATGTTTCATCATAACCCATGTTTTCTCCTCTATGAAATTCCCATTTCTGCCATCTGCCCGTTTTTTCTATTGGAAAGTTTGTCTTTTTCTTATTGAATTGTGCTCTTTCTATATAATGGGTACTAATACCACAGAGGTTATATGCTTAACTATCCCTTCTCTAGGTTTGTGGCCAGACTGTTCATTCTCTTCATGGGATCTCTTGAGTAACAGAAGTTCTGGATTCTCACATAGTTATGACTATTCACATTTCATAAAGAAGAAAAGCAGTGTTGGGAAGCCCTCCAACCCTGAGGCCCTTTCCTTCCGGGTCACGAGAACACAACGTAAAAAGCACCAACAAGGCAGGCTGGCAATAACCTCTAATGGTTATTAGACTTGTGTAAACAAGCCTCTTCGTGTGATGGTTTTGGAGCAGCTCTGCCTGCAAACTTTAATGAAAGAGAAAAGAAAAACTTTCTCTAGCCTTCCACCTCTGCAGCTAGCCTGTCCACGCAGGTACGCAACACGTGTTATCAAGGACCATGGACCTGAACCTGAGATGCCTGCCTGTATCACAGGGCTGCGTGCGGCAAGGGGTGAGGGAGCCGAGCCCATGGGGGATGGTTTACCGTTGTCCCATCACCACAAATGGTATGACTGTTGCTGTTCCAGTCCAGAGCACCGATGCATCGCAGGCTCTCTGTGACTGCGTTCTTAATGAATGACAGCAATTAAAATGGCTGGCAGACCCTCATATGAGTGGAGGAAACAGGAGAACTTTCCAGTTAGTAAGCCCTAGGGCAAATAAAAACAGGCTTAACATCTATAAAATAATGAACTCATTATGGATGACTAGGTGGATGCAAATTGACAAGGTGCATTATGAAATGTACCCAGGGCTGGGGATCCGAATCCACGGATTTTACTCGAGGTTCTGCCATTAAATAGCTATGTGACCTTAATCACTTTAGCTTTTCACGCCTCGTGGAAAAGTTAAAGTTTCCATGAAGAAGTTCTGTGGTAAAATTCAAGATAAAAATGCAAGCAGCCAACAGATCAAAGATCTCGCTGATGTTAAACAAATACAGAGTATTCATTTCACAGACAAGATACATTCACAACCCATCACATGAGAAAGTAAAATTCTTCTTTTGTTAGAAGTACCATCGGGGGGGGGGGAGGGATAAAAATAAATGAGACCAAAAGCAGCAAAAGGACTTTATTAGTGCTCCACCTTTTTCAATTTTCTGGAAGTGGCATTGATTTACCATATTATGTCAGTTTCAGGTGCACAGCAAAGTGATTCCGTGTTTTTGCAGATGATACTCTAGAAGCTCAGAAGATAAATTCCAAAATGTTTACTTGGTGGAAAATTTCTGATTCAGTAGGTCCCAAGAATTTGCATTTCTACCAAACTCCCAGGTGCTGGCTGCTGTTGCGGCTCCAGTAATAATAATAATAATAATTTTTTTCAATAAATCTCAATAACAATTCTCAACAATAATATCGTTGAGAATCACTGTGTTAGAAGGACTGAAATTACTTGGTTTTCCCGAGGGCTGTCACCTGATTAAGGCTGAAAAGAGTAGAGCAGGGAGCATGAGCTAGGTAAAAGGATGGGTTTCTCTGAGAAGGGCAACTGGGAAATACTCGTAGGAGCTGCTGCTGTGAAAGTTTCCGCTGAAAAACCTGTTTAAAATATAACAGATTCTTAACTAAATCGGTTATATGCAATCCTATCTGAAAGGAGGGGAATTGTTAGTAGCTCTTAATAATTCCTGAGACACACTCCTTTGACCACTTGATGTCCACTACCTCGCTCCTAGAAAAAAAAAATGCAATCATATACTCAAAGTATTTTACCCAACTTGAGGAGATGATAGAATTCCCAAACCCATCCTAGGTCTTAAGTAAGAAACCAGTGGAGTTGGGTTTCACTGATTCTTCCCTATCTTTAGACACTGCATTTAAAAGTCTTTTTAAAGACATTTTTTTGAATAAAAGAGGAGAACAAGTCAAATTATCCATTTCCCGAGAGTCAATGGGCAGCCCTTGCACATTCAATGAGTGTTTGCTGACACCTAGTGGCAATCCTAAGAGTTACAGCTTCCCACTCAAGTTTCCCTCTATTAAAAATCAAGAAATTTTGAGGGGTCTTTTTCTAAATTCAATCAAATCTCTTAAAACATGATAATATATTTGATTCCTCTCCTATGAATTATAAAACTTCTAGTAACACAATCTGCCTGACCCTGAAACTTCACTGATTTTTATTTTATACTTCTGGTTGAAACTAGATGTCTTGAAATGATACCAAGGGGTTTTAAAAAGTTCATTCATTTAAACAGTGTATATGTGAAAGCCTGAAAAAAAATATAGCAGTATTTGTTAAATATTAGGATCTAGAAATGTGGAGTCTTGGTTTTACACTTCCACTATGTTCCAATTCCCTCCCTTATTCTTTTATCAGACATCAATTTTGCACGTACCCTAAGCCAGGACTGTTCCATGCACAGGAGGCAGAACAGAGAATGAAATGGACATCTTAAACTTACATTTTCTACCATATCCTAAGTTTCCTATTGTTGAATTGTAAGTAGAATAGATCTCTCTTCTATAATGTTCTGCTTATATACATGATGATAATAGGAAACTCCAGTATTTTAAACAAGAATTGTTTCTCCTCCCCTCTCCTCTTCCTCCTCCTCCTCCTCCTCCCCCTCCACCACCACCTTCTCCTGGCCTTAAGACAACCCAATGTAAGCTGTCATCACAATAGTATTATCCATCGTGGAATTTTGTCCAAGCTCAGATGAAGTGGTACTTTTATCACTGTGAATCATTCACCCACATTCAAGTTGCATTTGCATAAATTAGGAATATAATTTTAAGCATTACACAGAAAACATGTGTGCAAGTGGGTTTTAAAGTGCACAGGACAAGATCTGTGATTATGCAAACAAGATAATCACCTAGCTTAGCCGATCCTGCAGTGATAATGGCAATTTCATCCCTGAGACTTTTTTTCCTAAAGCTCAGTGGGTAATTATCATGTGTTGTCAGCCCCAAATCAAAATCAAATTTCAAAGCTTTGCGCCTTCATTCTAAACCCTCCACCCCACAAAGGCATGGTTTCCCCTGCCACAATTCACATGATGGCTACAAAGCTTAAAGCAAGGAGAGATGGTGGCGTTTTACTGAGTAAGGGTTCAGGTATCACCTGGACATTACAGAATAAGAGGATTATGTTAATGACAGCCCTTTTCCCTATAATAAGATTCAAGACCCACACACACTAAGTCAATGTACAAGAGATCCCCAGCTTGATGATCCAATCCCTTCACTAGAACCTCCAGTAGGCAGATGTTTCAGCAGCCCCGCCTCAGAAGACCAAGAGATTGTTTTCTCCATGACGACAGCCTCGGCTGTCACTGAAACTAGTATTCACAACTCAGAACTGCCTTCTCCATCATCACATGACCGCAGTCAACAACACAGGTGACATGAACCAGTCTTTCAGATTCCACATAGAGATAATATCATATACTTGTCTTTCTCTGTCTGACTTACTTCACTTAGTATGATCATCTCTGTGTCCATCCATGTTGCTGCAAATGGCATTATTTCATCCTTTTTATGGCTGAGTAGTATTCCAGAGTGTGTGTGTGTGTGTGTGTGTGTGTGTACACCACATCTTCTGTATCCAATACTAACAACTATATATAAAATATATAAAGAACAAAGTCCTACTGTTTAGAATAGGGAACTACATTCAATATCTTGTAATAACTCATAATAATATAGAATATGAAAAAGAATATATATAACTGAATCACTTTGTTCTACACCAGAAAGTAACACAACATCGCAAATCAACTGTATTTCAATTTTTTAAAAAAAAGAACATAGGTGATAAATTTTTTTGTTGTCATTAATAGGACAAAACCTATTATGAACCATTTTAATAGGTGGTCCCCCATTCTAACTACCATTTTAGATGGAGAATAGAGAATATTTTTCCCCCGGAAACACACAGAAAAATTATGGGTCAATATAGCACTAATTACAAAAAAATGGAGTTAACCAAAGAATATCATTTTCGTATACACTCTAAAAAGACCAAATATGATAAAATAGATAAATAACAATGTCCTACTGCACAGCACAGGGAACTATATTCAATACCTTGTAATAACCTATAATGAAAAAGAATAGGAAAAGGAATATGTATGTATGTCTGTAACTGAATGACTATGCTGTGCAACAGAAATTAACACAACATTGTAAATCAACTCTACTTCAATTCTTTTTTTAAAAAAAAAGTGAATACGGCATTTCTACTGACCATTCAGAGGCGGAACCAAGCAGCTGAAGGCAGACACGGTCGCGTTAGCCAAGACTTGGCAGGCAGCGCCACACACGGCAGCTGAGATGTTCCCGGGAGAAAATCCTGCTCCGAACACATGCACGAGCCTTCCACCCAGGCAGCCTTTAAAGACAAAGTTACGAGTTCACGATCCTAGAGGCAAATCTTGCTTTCTCTACTCAAAATCCAAGCCCCTGCTCTCCTGCCACCCACCGCTCTTTCTACACTCTCCACAGAGTCTGCACAGCTGGCTTTAGAGCCCTGCTTTCCTCAATTTCTTCTCCCTAAGCTCAGGTCTCCAAAGCCTAGAGCCCTGGTTCTGTCAAACCTCAGTCACCTTCAACAACCTATAAAAAAAAAGCAATAATGTTTATGTAGAAAAGTAGTGCTTATTTATAGCTCTTAAACTCTTTATACAGAGGAGTATAAAATGAAAGGAAAACTTCCCTAACGATCTATTTCACTCCCCAGAAGTAGCCACGTGTCGAGTTCCTTGTGAATCCCTCCAAAATTTTCTAAGCATACAGATTTTTTGAAATCATTCTCTATAGATTATTCTACAATTTGGTATTTTTAATTAGAAGCATAGCATAAACATTTTTCCAGGTCTGTATCTCGAGATCTAGCTTGTCATTTTAATAGCTACTGAGGATTCCATTCTATGATTATGCCATAATTTATTTAGCAATTTTCCTGTTGACTGAGATTTCCAGAATTTCAATAGTTAATGATGCTGCAATGAACTATACACTTGTGTAACCATTGCAAATTCTCAGTAGTGGAATTGCTGGGTCAAAGGAAAATTAAATTTTTAGTTTTGATAGATATCGCCAAATCTCTCTCCAAAATAATGTTGCAACAGTTTACGCTCCCACCTGCAGGGCAGGAAGTGTATCTGTCTGATGGGTAAGATCATGCCAATTCTTAACAGACATGTTTTGCTTCAGTCTGAGAACCAGCAAAGGAAAACATCAGCTGGACTCTCAGACGTGTGGAAACCTCTAGTCCACACTGAGACAGGGCCCCAGCTTCCACCGCCTTCATGGCAACTCTGGGTGGTACGTACCCAGCCACCAGACAAACCGTCTGCTCTCTCATCATAAAAATCATGGATTCTTAGAGAGTAGAAAGGGGAGCCAGGGGCCATCCAGCCCAAAATGCTTTATCCAATAACAAAGCTGAGGGTTAAAAAAGTTACCCAGCAAGGACAGTGACAGACTCAGGACCAAACCCCGATCCCCAGAGCATCCCACCCACTGAAGCTGGACACATTTGTCCAAGAAAAGGCTTCATTCATACATCATCAATCTCAGACCCTGTTCCCATAATTTTCTCTAAATCTTCTGCAGCACAATCACATGGGAGCTATCTCAAGTGCAGTAAGACATGAAGGGAACGAAACCCAAACCATCCTTGGAAGAAAAGGCAAGGCAAATTTCCACATATCCAAAAGGAGAAAAAGTTCAACCAATGCCGTTGTACTACGCAATTGGCCTATTACTGGTGCAATATGAATTCATCTGTGAAACAGTACAAAATGATAACAATTAATCATATTTAATAAGTCGGAAGTACTTCACATTGGCATACAGGCCTGAAAATAGATGAAGGCATTTCTGTTCCACTTAAATGATCAAATTATGAGCTCCTACAAACGGTATTATTTAATTTAAAACACAAATTAAAGCGGGTTAATGCATCAAATTAAAATACAATCAAACACTTAGGGAACAGGCACCATCTCCTTGATAAAAAGCAAGGCCTCACCCGTGGAACAGAACAGCAAAGACAAGTTTAGGAGGAAACTGGGACCGAAGAGGCCAACCGGCTTCTCTCTCCTTCTGTCTTTCAGGCTGATGTCAATTTCCTACCTCATAGAGTAGTGACAGCAGCTATTAATCCGCTTACTCCAAGAAAGCTCTCTGCCCTATCTGCTTGACTTACCGAAGTTCTCAGTCACTGCTGTCACGGTAACTCTGGATGTGAACATCAGGTCAGATGAGGCCCACCCTCTCGTACGGTCATAACCCCGGACTTGGTACCTCCCGGCAGGAAGGGACGGGACCACACACTGGAGAACAGTCTGGTTGCCAGAGACACCCACGCAGGGTGACATCCCGATAAAAATGTCAACGTTCGCAGCTTCTGAGATCCGGGCCACCGAAAAGGTTAAGATGTCATCAGTCTGAGAAACAGAGAGCAATTCAGGGGTGAAGGCATCGCTGTAACCAATGATGCCCATCTGGTATGAAAGTCCGTCCACCTCTATGTCCAGGGCCACAGATCCATTCCCTGCAGGGACCATGCACCGGAAGACCTCAGAGCCAAGGTTCACCATCAGGCAGGCCTGCCGGCCGACATAGACCAACGTGGTGTTCCGTCCCTTCAGGGCTGAGCCCTCCATGGTCAAGAGGCTTCCACCATGGATGCTGAAATTCTTGGGGAAATAGTGAAACACTTGAGGTAAAACATGGAAGTCTCTGGAAACGTTACCAAAACAAGCATAACCGTATCTTGCATGAAAAACTGATAGGTAGTGAGGTCCTGGAGCCAAGTCCTTTATCCAGCATGTCACGTGGCTCATATTAAAGAAAGTTACAAAGCAAGGGAGGCGATCAGCTACCAGCACCACTGGGGCATCAGCCGCAGTGCTTAACCGCCGGCCCCTAATCAGCACCATGGTCAGAGACCCACTGCTGTTGATGGTCAAGGCGTCCACGACAGGAGTCATCTCTTCTCTCAAGAAAAGGGTGCAGTTCCCCTGACACTCGCTGGGTAGCCCATTAACCAGCACGGTGACATTCAGGGTGACATTCAGGTTGAAGGAAGCCCCAGGCAAGGAGTCACCCACCAGGGCAACCTGGCAGATGACCGCCTGGTCCCCCAGACTCAACATCGCACAAATGAAAGGTCCTGAAAGGTCAACCTGAACTGACCTCCTGCTGGAGTTGAGAACCAAGCCCCTCACCGTGACCACTGTCCCTCCACAAGCAGACCCACGCGTGGGGAAGACGGCCGTGATCCGAGGTGTCACCACAAATTGCTGGGGCACCGCAGACATGTTAGCAAACCCCATGTGCTTCTGACGGACTCGGAGAGGATAGATGCCCGCCTCCAAACTGGGAAGCGGAAAGTCGCACCCAGACAGGATCATGTGGGTCCCGGAAGACTGGGTCTCAAGATCACAGCTCAAGCCCCCCAGGAGGACTACCGAATTGGAGAGATTACGTCCCACCACAGAGAGCCTCAGGCCATGGTTCGTGATTTCTCCTCGCATGGCAGTGACCACTGGTGTTGCTGCCGCTTCGTACATGAAGGTGAAGCCCTCCCCCACCAGGCTTGGCGGAGGTCCGCTGGGGGAGGGCCGCCTGCCAGCCCAGACCTCCACAGGCGCTGGGGCACCAGGCAGCAGCGGGGCTGGCGGGGTCTCACACCAGATGTTCGTCTCTGTGGAGTTCACAATGTCACAGGACCGATTGCCCACAAGCACCCAAACCAGAGCTGGGTCCCGGCTGAACCCTACTCCTGAGAGGCTGAGGATGGTTCCACCTAAAGCAGGAATATTGAAAACAAAACTTAAAAGCCGATGTTGCAGACCTAGAAGTCACAGCCCTTATGTAAGCCCCCACATATAAGTGAACGGTGGGGTGTGAGTGGAATTGTCTCACCTCACCCCACCAATGTTAAGTTTGTGATCGTTCTGACACGAGTCAGATAGGCTGAAAGCCACATGGCAGTAAAATAATATAAATTGTTATATAAGAGAGTGTTTATAATATTTAAGACAAAATTTTCATGTATATTTACAGACCCCAGTAGCCACCACTTCTAATTTCTGCGGGCCCCTAATCAGCACCATGGTCAGAGACCCA